GGGCCCCGCGACAACACGGGGTATTGACCCATGCCCAAATTTGATTTGCGTGGTGTGCGGAAAAGAAAAAAGCCAGGATTCATGGGTCTTACGAGTCCCATCTAAGACCCATGAACCCTGGACCCTAAGCCCTAAGCCCTATCCCTCGACTCGATTTTTTACATTTGTGTTTTCACGGTGCTTGTTTCTGCATTGACATCCGATAGGTTTTCTGCTTCAGAACAGGAGTCCGAGACCATGTTGCGCACCCATTTCCGTGCCCTAAACCCTAAACCCTATAGTTGTTTGGAAATCGGGGCCATACGCCTTGTCATGACTTTCAGCTCGAAGCACTCATATAAGTCATGTTGACTCCAAACAAGCACGCAGCGAACCATCGGTAAACGGAAGTTATTCAAGTCATAAATATTCAATGCCCAGCAGCTCAAAAGAATGCAGCGCTGCTTTCTGTGGCTGGCGTGTATTGCAGACGGAAGTCTGCGTGTGCGGCTGCCTGGACAGGCTGGGGTTGAGAGAAGCCGGCGCCACAGGTGTTGCTTAGAGCCAGCGGACTGGTTCTGCGAGAGATTACAACACTATGGCGGTGTTGGCTTTGAAAAGAAAGTGCTCAGTTTTTTTGCTGGGCAGGCAGCAGTTTCCCACAGCTCCTCGATTGAAAGTTCTGGGGACGTGCAGGTGTGTGCATTGCTTGAGATGTCGTCAAGGGGCTGTCGTCACGACAGCGGCTTGAGCACTGAGTGGTCTCAAGAGGCAGCTCTGCAGAGGACATATTACAACAATCCTGCTGACTGTTACGAACTACGTATAGAGAACGTATATGTGTGTGAACAGCCGGCAGAGATTCATCACAAACAAGTCCGCACAGCGGGTTCTGGTGGTTTAGGCAGAATTTCCGCAACGCAGCCGTTGTTTGTTGCGCATTGGGGCAACGACCCCCAAGGCGGCGCCGCTTTGCGGGGACTTGAAGGCTCTGCAGGAACTCGGGTCACTGCAGAGGATGTGCTCCGCGCGTCTGCCTTTGAAATTTCTGCAGCGGAAATCCCCGTCATGATCTTGCCTTGGCCCTTGGCTTTTCTCATTAACAAGCGGGCCTGGTCTTCTGTGTTGATTCGGACCCATTGGCATTCATCTTTTCATCAACACCGTCACAGACGACCTGAGGGGCCACTTCCTGGTTGGCCTCCGGCAGATGCAGAAGTTTGGAGGCCTCAACGTCCTGCTAGTGCCGATGCAGATGCGGACGCTCAAGCAATTCCGCCGTTAACAGCGGAGTCCCTCGACAAGTTGGCGAGGATAGTGCGCTCGTGGGGTCCCTCATTGCTTGCGCAAGAGCCACCCCCAACAACGGTTGGTGCAGACATCACTTTCGTGCTCACTACGCTGGACAGATGGAGTTTTTCGTGGCGCCAAGCTATGGGCATGCTGAATCTTCCTGGTGGCGTGTCACGGTTTCGTCACACATCACACAAAGTTCTCGACTGCATACGCTTGAGTTCTCATCTAACTGGAGGGCCGAGTTCCTTGGTGGATGTAGTGGCACAGTCGTTGGCCTCTGTCCTGCCAGAGTTTCTGCGTGAGGCCTTCATAAAAAATGTCACGAAGCCCAGCAGTAGCAGGAGACTGCTCCCCAGCGCCAGTCTCATTCGACGTTACGAACTTGCGTTTGATGTTGCACTCATGCTGCTGAGTCGGAAGCGGGCCTCTTCTGTGTCGTCGTGCGTTCGCGTTGGTTGGAGCGATTCTTCACCCCTGGCCGGGTATGATTGGATCTGGTCACAGTATCATGAAGTGGAGAAGAGCCGTCTCCTCGCGACCTTCCAGGCTGTAAGCAGTCTCCAGCAGGGTGTTGCTTCTTTCGTTGAAGAGCACTTGCAACTGCATCAAGACCATCTTGACAGTGACGAGCCTGAAAAAATACGGTGGCCAACGTCTCCTTTGCCTGAGTGGGTGCCATGGCTGCAGATTCTGAGAAGCAATATTCATGAGCATATCAACCCCCCGGCAGCCATGGGCAGTGGCCACCGCAGCCTGTCAGACAAGGCTGCGTGCGAAGTCTTTAAATGGCATCTGCAGCACCCAATCACCTCGGATTTGTCCCAACACGGGGCCTCTTACATCGCACATTGCAGTGACATGGGAGTGGAGTTGAGTTTGCCAGATTTTCGCTTGTCAGGATCCGTAGAGGCCCTGTTGCCAGACTGGCTGCACCGCTTTGTTCCCCCTGACATTGATTTAGATGACAGCGACCAAGCCGTTCCCTGCGCACCAATGGATGTTGAAGACAACATAGATGGAGAATTTCTTGAGGACGACGACGTTGAACCTGCAGGCCCCGCTGAGGGTGCAGCTGCACCTGCTCCTCACGAGGCTGGACCAGGTGCCGCCGAGGGCTTTTTCATGCCTTGTGCCTTCACAATCGGGGGCCTGCAGCATGTCGTCAACAATCTCTGTGCAGATGTTCATCAGGGCATGGGGCATTGGGCGCAGTTTTACAGCGACTTGAAAGCTGTGGAAGCTCTGCTCCGTGTCGACGAGCGTCGGCAAAGGTTCACTTGGACATGCCTCCAGGGCACTCCTTTGGAAGGGCAATCTCATCGGTTCCAAAGATTCAAAGGCAGTCTCTACGAGAGTCGCTGGCACGAAGTCCTTGGATTCTTGAAACAATTGACGGGGCTACTCCCTACTTTGGCGAGGGCGTGGGACATGCAGAAGTACATCCGGGGTGTCAACTTGGATGGCCAAGCTCGGCCAGCCCAAGCACAAGCTGAGAATCTGCAAAATCAACGTCAAGGTCTTTCTGTCTTTGACCCAGCGAAAGTGACAGCAGCTATTCAAAGTCCGCTATTCCACAGTTACGCAGCGATGGCGTTGAAGCTCGAGGAGATCCCTGAAGCTCTTGCTTCAGCTGCAGAGGCATGTCCCTGCCATCGGTCACTGTTTAAACATCTCAGTGAACACCATCGCCGCAAAACCCTGGAGAGCCATCTTGGGCCTGGATCAGCTGTGTGTCCGATGGCAGGAAAACTGATGCCCGAGCTGGTCGCAGGTGAACTTGAATGTGTCTTCGAAGATATCTGTTCGCTGAGGGAGACTGGCCTGTCCTTGCTGCCGCTGCCTGGCCTGAGATCTTTGACCGGCCAAGAATGGAACACGTTGATATCAGACTTCCGGCAGGGTCTCTCTTCGACACAGGAATGTGTTTGGTGTCATTTCGGCCGAATGTTTTTGGT